CGCGATGAGAAATTCACATTAACGGATGATGCATCGTTCTATTGTCATCGTTAATTTTACTTTTAAATGTATAAATTTAAATATTTTTTTATTCATCATCTTTTTTCTCTGGAATTTTCACGGAAATAATAATAAAGAAATAGTATTAATAATAATCATGATCATAATAATTATCATAAGAATAATAATACTTTGACAATTAATCTACTACAGCTACTATCACTGCTTCTGCTGTTACTACTACTCTCTGCTACTACTGTTTACTACTACTACTACTACTACTACTACTACTACTACTACTACCACTACTATTACTACTACTACTACTACTACTAAGATACTAGTAGTAAGATACTACTACTACTACTACTACTACTACTACTACTACTACTACTACTACTAAGATACTAGTAGTAATAGTAGTAGTAGTAGTAGTAGTAGTATTAGTAGTAGCAGTAGTAGTAGTAGCAGTAGTAGTAGTTTTACTAGTTGTAGTTGTAGTGGTAGTAGTAGTAGTAGCAGTAGCAGTAGTAGTAGTAGTAGTAGTAGCAGTAGTAGTAGTAGTAGTAGTAGTAGTAGTAGTAGTAATGATAATAAAAAAAATAATAATAATTACAATAAATCAGGTCTCGAAGGTTTTAAATTTAATTAGCGAAATGTTCTTCCATTCCGCTCCTCTGATTCGTTCGTTTCTGTACATTTCGGCCATACAGCAAAATTTTTTAGTGGCCCGTTATTCTGTATTTTTACTTTAAGTTTTCAATTTAGTATTTGTTTATTCATTTTTTGGCTCGTTCATTCATTCGTTCATTCATTCATTCATTCGTTCGTTCATTCTTTCATTCATTCATTCATTTATTCATTCATTCCTAGCAGTAGTTGTAGAAGTAGTAGTAGCAGTAATAATAATAGTATTAGTAGTGGTAGTAGTATTTGTAGTTTGTAGTTGTTGCAGTAGTAATTGCAGTAGGTATGTGTTGTATTTTTGTTGTTTCAACTTTACGACTATTTTACGTGCGCATTTGCTGGCAAGGATTTGTATTTATAACTGTTGTTGTAGGATATTTCTTTTGCTTGGGTTTATTTAATGTCTTTGGTTATTTGTTTACAGTCGTTCACATTTTTACAATTTTTACGATATTGTTTACATATAAGGTTAAAGTTTGAAAGGTTAAAAGTCAGGTTCCAAAGTCTAGAGGAGTCAACAAGAGACAATCAGACGCATGTTTTAGCACGTATGTTACAGTATGTTACAGGCCTGGATCCTTCTGTCTTAGAACTCAGTCACTGCATAACGAGACCAGACTGACAAACTTAACTTCAGCTGACTGCTGATGTATTTTTCA